CCTTGTCCGCTCTGGAGACACGCCACGAAGGGCTGCATGACCAGGCTGCCTGGCCCAGGTCGCCCTTATGTTTCGTCATCCAGATCGCCGTCATCACAGCGTTAATAAGCCCAACCGTCCTCGTCACCAGGTGTTCGTGTGGACGGTGAAGAACAACGATCTGGTGGGCGTGGCGTTCATCGACTCGCAAGTGTACATCCACCAGCTGCGCTCCATGAAGAACTTCATCATGGCCGCCGACGTGTGCAACTCGGTGTCGCTGCTGCGCTTCCAGCAGGACTTCCGCACCATCTCGCTGCTGGCACGCGACTTCAAGCCGCGCGACATCTACGCCGTCGAGTATCTGATAGACAACACGCAGGTCGGGTGAGTGACGGGCCGAGACAGCACGCAGGTCGGGTGAGTGACGGGCCGAGACAACACGCAGGTCGGGTGAGTGAAGGGCCGAGACAACACGCAGGTCGGGTGAGTGACGGGCCGAGACAACACGCAGGTCGGGTGAGTGGCGGGCCGGCTCGGCCGTCGGCGGCAGCTGGCGAGGACAGCGTGCCAGGTCTGCCGGCCGGGGCGCTGCGGTAGTCCCCCGGAGCGACGGGCGGGGTACACGCCGCGGTGCTTTCACACCTGGCGTGTCGACGTGGCGGCGCTGTCAGCGGTGGCTGCTGCAGAACACGGCGGTGGTATGCTGCCTGCCAGGCGACTCGTTTCACTACCGAAGCAGTTATCGGCGTCTCGGAAACTGGTCGACAGAGTGGGCATCAGGCGGCTTCGACTGATGCTTGGAAAAGAGCCTGCCACATGTTACATGCGTGGTTTGCTTGACCGTGGCAAGCCCTCTGCCCTGGATGGCGCCCTGGACCGGTGCATCAGTCGTGAGGCACGGTTCTCCCCCGGCAGGTTCCTGGCGACGGACGCCGAGGCGAACCTGATCGTGTTCCTGTACCAGCCGGAGTCGAGGGAGAGCGGCGGCGGACAGCGACTCATGCGGCGCGCCGACTTCCAGGTACTCTTGCCGGGCTGACGGGACTCTCAGGCGCTGAACAAACGCTGGACAGTCACAGGGGTGGGCATAGCGCCACCAGCTACAAACGCTGGGAACTCGCAGGCTTGAGCACAGCACTTTCAGGAACAAGGAGGGCATTACAAGGCATGGACACGGAACACATTCGGAGTCAAACACGACAACACTCCGAAGTACGAACACGGAACACTTAGGTACGGACATGGGACACTCCCAAGTATGAACACGGAACATTTCCAAGGACGAACACGGAACACTCTCAAGTGCGAACACGGAATACTCCCAAATGCGAACACGGAACGTTCTCATGTACGAACACGGAGCACTCCCAAGTACGAACACGGAATACTCCCAAGTACGAACACTGAACACTTCCAAATACGAACACGGAACATTCCCAAGTACGAACGCTGAACACTCCCAAGTACGAACATGGAATACTTCCAGATAGGAATATAAACATTGTGTATTTCCCTGTACTAGCCACCGACTGGACAGTTGTGGACCTCACCGAACAAGTGTTGCACAACTGCACGCAACTCCAAGTGCTCGCCAGCACAGTGCACGGCTTCAGCCATGCCTGACGTCCCTTGGAAGGGGTGCTGTTTGTTCTCAGCGGGACCCTGGCCTCAGGGACCGGCGATTTAGCTTCGAGTTTTGCCTGCTGCTAGTGATGGGTCAAAGACATGTGCTGGTGGCATGTGTCACATCGCGCCGTGATGCGATCCACGTTTTGTTCACTTTTGGCGTTGGCAATCTCACGCAGGGCTTGTTCACAGCTTCATTCATTCACAGCTTGTGTCGCCGTATCCCGACTTGCCTGTCTTGCTTAACGCAAAATTGAAAACAAAAACAAAAACAAACCAAAGGTGACTAATGAAACTAATAAGTGCTTATAAAAACTAGTACAACTTCATTCTAAGATGTTGGCGTGCTTGATAGCGTTAGAATTATGCGGCATTACACAGATGTTGCCATTCCGGTAGTGATCTACGGAAGTAGCTGCACACGTTGAACGTCACATTACGTCCCGTACCGTGACCGGAGTGGAACCCGCTCCCCCTCCCCCTCCCTCCCGCCGTCTGACGGCCGCTCCCGTGCCTGGCAGCTGTGCTCCCGCGTGTCGACCATGACGCGCGTGCGGTGCCGACTGAAGGACACCTCCGGCGAGAGGAAGCATCCGCCCATTGTGGCCAAGCGTCACATGACCGTATACGGTGAGGGCGGACGGCCGCCGCGCCGTCGGTGGCGCCCGGGTAGGCACGGTGAAAGCCCCGACCGCTGGACCAACGGGGTGGGTGCGGCCGCCGCTGTTCCGCGTGGGGGTATGGACTACGTGTTTGGGTGTAGGGTCGTGTCCGCTGCAGTGGTCTTCATGCGCTCAGTCCGGGCCAGTTTGAACATGAGCGAGAGCCACTGGATAGAGTCGGCGGTGTGCCCGGTGCGGGCGATGGGGTAGGGTGGCAGAGACGCACAGCAGCTCGTGCTACTCACAAACACGTGAGAGTAGCAACCTGATTGTCGTGCATAATTTGCGTGGAAGGAAATCGTCTACCGATGATTAAATGCAGGAGCGGGTGGGTCCGAGTGGGTTCGGCATCGCAACCACCGAATCACGAGGGGACGGCGCGGCGCTGACTCACCGCTTCACCCACGACCTGAGTGCGACCTGATCTGTGACCTGACCCGACCCGTGACCCGATGGTCGCCCGGCAGCCTCGCTGGACGGCGGCCTGGGCTTCCTGCTGCCGCTGCCGGAGAAGACGTACCGGCGCCTGCTAATGCTGCAAAACCTGCTGACGTCGCAGCTGCCGCACCGGCTCGGCCTCAACCCGCGCTCGTTCCGCACCTACCGCAGCCAGCGGCGCGAGCTGGCGCCCCCGGCGCGGGGCGTGCTCGACGGCGACCTCGTGTTCTCGTACCTGTCAATGCCGACGCCGGAGCGGCACGACGCCGCGCGCCGCGTCGGCTCGCGGCCGGATGAGATCGCCGACGACCTGACCGAGGTCAGCCGGTACACGGCCCACTTCTGAGCAGGGCGCTGGCGGCGGCCGGCCGGCGGTGCGCGCGTGGGGGACGTCGGAGCGGCAGCCGGCAGTGCGGGGGGCGTCGGAGCGCGGTGCTCCTCCGAGGGGGCAGCTGTGACCGGACGGGCTTCTGACAGCGCGTGTCGTGAGAACGCCCGCGGCTGCCGGTATGAGGAGCTGACGCGGTGGGAGCAGCCGCGGACCCGACAGGCCACGCTCGTCTGTCCGCTGGGCGTGCTCGGCGGTCTCGGCTGGGTAGCGAGGCTGTTCGGCGTGTTCGCCGCCGTCCCGTCAGCAGTGATAGCGCCACAGGAGGCTCGGGCCGCCAGTCAGCCGCCCTCCGCGGGACCTTCCGTCGACCGGGACGTCCGCGCCCACCGGTGATCCTCGGACGGCACTGCCGTCAGTCCGGCGGTAGCGTGTCTGGAGGCCGCGGTGTCGGCGGCCACACGACGGGCGCTGACCGTGCCTCATTCGACCATCCTTCGTTGTCATGTTACGCGTGTACATATACACACCGGATATCATCGTCTGGTGTATTGTTTAAGAGATTATTCTGGGCGGCCGGCGGCGGCGCCGGCGCGCGGGACGGCCGGGGCGGTGGCGGCGGCTGCGCTGGCGGTGCAGCTGCCGCCAGCGCGGCCCCGTCGGTGGCGCGCCCGATCAGCGGCGGACCGGGCCGGCGGAATGTGTCACACAACCAGCGTCACGGGCACAGCAGGCCCGCAGAACAGCTACCAGGGAAGAACCCGTCCGCAAAACAGCCGCCACGGAGCTGCCACAAAACGGCCATAGGTGCGGGAACGCGCTGTTAACGCGGCGTCGCCCGCACCTCCTAACACAGCTGCCACCGCGAGCATCGCCACGAAATACCTGCCCAGGCGAGATGGCGTACGGTACCGGACAAAAGCAGCGGCTAAAGAAGCACGTGACGGAATGAGTAAGTACCAAGGCCTATTGGTGACGTCTAGTAGTCCTCTCATATCACAAGTGGAGACACCGGCAGATTCCGACGACGACCATCCGTAACTGCTGGTCATATAGGCCACGGGAACGTTCCCTACAGACGAGTCACTACACAGCAGCGCTTTTGGTCCCAACATCCTCTCCGTTCGTTTGGGCGGTCGGCGGCGGCGGCGGCATCGCTCCGTGAGGTGGGCGGGGCTGGCCGGAGCCCGATCACGCGTGGTCGACAACGCACTCGACGACGCCGCCCGTCCACGTAAAGCTAATAAAATCCGACAACACGCCGCCGCCCTCCTTTTCCGGCCGGCTCGCCTCGTCATACAGTAAAACCCGCCGTTGATAGTCATAGGTAGCGCTCGCACCTGCACAACCAGCTCTAGCAGCGCGTCGTTACAACGGCACGCGCCGGGGACGGCCGGGCATCGGCAGAGCGGAGGATGCTCGCACCACGGCGGCGGAGCGTCCCGGCCGCCCGCCGACCGACCGACCCCACAGCAGCCGTGCGGAAGACAGGGGCGGCCCGATGGGTCCCGCCCGCCTCTCAGGGTCACCGAGAGGTGGGCGGGATTCACCCGGCCTCCGGTGGTGCCCAGCACACACCATATGTACATAACTCACGTCCATCACGCACCAGACGTGCAGAACCATTGTCAGTCACACCAGACGTACATAACTCGCGTAAGACACATACGCACGCACCAGACGCACATGACTTTCATCAGTCGCATACCAGACTTACGTAACTAGCATCAGTCACACACCACCTGCACGTAAGAAGCATCAGTCAAGCACCGCGCCGCTGCGTCGTCCACACTGACGTCACTGACGGCGCTGAAACACATGTCCGAGACCGTGGCTACCAGAGCTGCTCAAAAGGGAATGGCTGCAGCGGCTCCTTGTTCGTGCCCCGCCAACGGGCGCGACAGACAGCCCGGCGAGGCGGCAGCGGCCAGCCGCACCTGTCGCCGACGACACACCGCGTGGACCGGAACTGGGCGGCCAAATACATCGGCGCGTTCAGCATAACAACCAACAGAGCTGCGCAATGGAAGGAGCGGGCACGACTTTCTGCTCGCGCCAAGTTCAAAAGGCTCATGATCGGCCGGCAAAAGTTGGCCAGGCATCAAAAGGCTGGCACCACGGCGCCTAATACGGTCGGGACCGTTCTCGGTGGCACTCACACCTGTTCTGCTTGCAGGCGCGGTACCAGTGACGTAATCGTCAGAGGTGCGACCCCAGTGACGTCATCGCGCAGACGCACATCTCCAGTGACGTCATTGCCAACGTGGCACAACCGGCTGTGTCACTCCTCCGAGTCGCGCCGCTGGTGACGTCACTCCTCAGGAATCCAGCACAAGTGACGTCACTCCCGAGAAATGCACCACGGCGGCGGCCGCGGCGGCAGAGGAATGCACCAATGTGGTACAACCGGCGGCGTCGCTGCCCGGGATCGCAGCACCAGTGACGTCACCCAGCGGCGCCACGCCTCTCCGCCGCCGCTCGGTGGCGCCGCATCTCCCCCGACACCAGCCAGGAGCGCCGGAGCGGCGGCCCGCTCCAGCCGCGGGCGGCGGCGCGCCTCACAGGTGGAGCACGCCGTCGGAGCGGGAGGCCAGCAGCGAGATGTCGTCGCCGTCGTCGGAGCTGCGCGACGTGTGGGCCGAGTGGGCCGACGCGCGGCTCAGCTGGGAGGTGCGCGCGCTGCTGCCCCGCTCCGCCTCCAGCGGGTAGCGCTGGTTGGCCGGCTTCACCGTCACGATCAGGTTCGACGAGTTGGCCACCATCATGTCAGTCACCTGGAGACAGCGTGGTCGTCATCATCATCATCGGAACCAAGTGACACGAGCATATGTTGATCAGTTACCGCCCCTCTGGGGAGGTATGCCAGGGGGGGGGGAGTGGATCTCATGTTGCGTAGCAGTTCGTGCGAGTCACGACATGCCTCGGGCGATTACATGCGACGTTCATCGGATGGTAAACATCAAGTGCAGGTCAGGAGCCTGCGAATAACACAACCGCTCGTCGTGGCCTTGGAACATGTGACTTGCCACCGCCCTGCGATGGATGGAGACAGGGCAAACACACCGCAGATAAGACCGGATGTACGCTGACAAGACTGCAACAGATAAGACCGAATCGTGGGAGAACGACAGAATGATATCAATGTATTACGCCATGCACCACACAGGCCTAACCATCTCCTGTCGGCCGCAGCATAACACGTGACCCCTTGCAGACTGCCCCCAGGAAGCTCCTCAAGAAGCGCACGAGACCGCACTGATGCCGGCAATACCAGCTGCCTGCAGGCACATGTCCAGCAGCCAGCCGAGCCCGCGCCCGCGCCCGCCCCGACCCCGCCCCGCCGCCGCCACGCACCTGGTCCAGTGTCTTGCCGGCCACCTCGATGCCGTTCACCTCGAGCACCTCGTCGTTGACGGCCAGCAGCCCCGTGCTCTCCGCCAGACCGCCCGGCACCAGCCGCGAGATGAAGATGCCCGGCACCTGCGCGCGCCGGCCACGGGCGTTAGCGGGCCTGCCAGCGGCGATGCTCACCAGCGACGCCGCGCGACTTCCGCTAATGCGCAGCGGGAAGTGAAGATGTCCAGTGTTTAGCGATGGGTTTTACATCGTGACCCTGGACTACTCACAACCCTTAGCCCATGAAAACAGCGTACTGAGGCGCGCAGAACAAGATTTCTTTTTGTTTAGCACGTTCCATTTGCCAAAGGACAAAGCTACGATGCGTTCCTTGTGCATGTCAGTTCGTTGATTAACGCATACGTGTTATTGAGCTGAGATACGCAAGTGGTATAGCTAGCTGTTCAAACTCGGACTCAGTGTCTACCAGAACCCAGAAATGCGACGCTCCAGATCCCTCCATCTCTCCGACGTAACACAACAGGTGAGCAGTCCCACACAGCGCAACACAACAGAAGGCGTGCAAGTCATGAGGGACGGCTCGGACTGTCAAGCCGCGCGATGCGCCACCCGGCGGCCGCGGCCCGAGGTCAGTCCCGCTGACCGACCTTCTCCAGCCCGGTGGGCGTCACGCGCAGACTGGTGCCGTCCCGGATGTAGAAGCCCAGCGGCTTCTCGGAGCCGTGCTTAAGCAAGCGCACGCGCCGGCAACGCTCCGGCACGATGTCCACGTCGATGATCTGGGCCACCTGCCGGACACACACAGAGACGTCAAGTCACAGACTTCGGCACGATGTCCACGTCGATGATCTGGGCCGCCTGCCGGGTACACACAGAGACATCAGGTCACAGACAACAGCACAATGTCCACGTCGCTGATCTGGGCCACCTGCCGGACACAAACAGAGACGTCAGGTCACGGACTCCGGCACGGTGTTCACGTCGACGATCTGGGCCACCTGCCGGACACAAACAGAGACGTGCAGAGACGTGGACGGACACAGAGATACTTTGGGCCTGTACCCTTTCACAGACTCAGGCCACCACGGGGACATGCCTAATGCCAGGCCATGATGCCTGACGTCATGCGCGACCCCGGCTCTGTATATACGTCCACCACCGCGCGCTACGGCAGCGCGGAGCGTACCTGACGGAAGTCCTCCGGGTAGGAGATGGGCGGCTTGGCCTTCGGCGAGCCGATCAGCTGCGGCAAGAACTTGCCCCTCTTCATGGTGGAAGACCCGCTGACGTCCCACATGTTCTCCCCTGAAGAGCGAGTCAACATCAGCAAAAGGGCAGGGCATTTTCTCAACGCTTCAGACCAGTAATACAGAGGAAAAAGGCCACATGGCGCCCACAGTCTAAATTGAAGCCATCCAGGACCAGTAATGCAGCCCTTTCAGAACAAAGGGAGCACCACTTTCTACGCGTTGCGCTACAGAATTTCGCACGAAAGCGGGAAAGCAGGCGGCCCGAGCTTGCCAGCTGGTATCAGTCAATTGGTCAGTATTAGAGCCTGTCGGTATCAGAGCTGGTCAAAGTCAGAGCCGGTCAGTATTAGAGTCGGTCAGTATCATAGCAGGTCAGTATCACAGCTGGTCAAAATCAGAGCTGGTCAGTATCATAGGCAGTCAGTATCAGAGCCAGTCAAAATCAGAGCTGGTCGGTACTAGAGAAGGTCAGTATCAGACCAGGTCAAAATAACAGTCGGCCAGTATCATAGCTGGTCAGTATCAGGGCCAGTCAGTATCAGAGTCAGTCAGTATCAGAGCCATTCAGTATCAGAGTCAGTCAGTATCAGAGCCAGTCAGTATCAGAGTCGGTCAGTCAGTGTCACTCTGGGCGACACCACTGAGGGCTCCAGAGTCGGCAGGCATGTTGCAAAACCGTGAACGGACGACCCCGCGTAAGTGGTGCCCTAATTCGTGTAATGACACCGCCGTCATAACCAGACTGATTACACAGAATGTTGTTGGTCGCACCTTCGTGTTGCAGGACACGGCTACAAGTTTCCGCAGCTCAGGTTTTACTGTGACGGAGCCGAAACACACACGTGCATTTAATGCCCGCGCTGTGTAGTTGGATCTGAACGGTGTCGAACCTTTTCGATAACGGATTCGCCACGGGTCGCACATTTCTGCCGTCGGATCTGAACCCGGACCGCACATTCCCACAGTAAGATCCGAACAAGAACTGTATTTTTCCCAGCGGGACCTGGTCAGGAGCCGTACCTTTTCGCTGCAGGATGATCCTGAGCAGCGGCCGGGCGCACTCCAGCGACTTGGCGAAGTTGTCGTCATTGTTGATGGGCAGCAGGTAGCCGTCCTTGGGGTCGGTGTAGCTGACCGTGAACGGGATGTCCTCCAGGAAGTGGAGCCGCTGCAGCAGCTGGTACAGCTCGTCGAAGCGCTTCATCTTACCCCGCTCTATACTGTAGCGTCGGAACTCTGCGTCGAACTGCCCGAAGGCCGCGAATTAGCACCGACGCCGCCGACCGAGGCCGTCGGGAGCTGCCTATTTTTGCTGCACTGCTTCCCAGTCGGGAAATACCTAGTAGAATATGCCTAAAGCACCAAGTATCATATCCATGTGGCCTGTTGAGAGATGAGGTGTCCGAAGAATTCGCCGTCAGATTCTCATCCCCCAGAGAAAGGCCAGATCATGACAATGGACATGCATTAACCCAGCTGGAGCAAATACAAGCATATACTGTGCTATTAGCACCAGCGACTGCAGTTTGGCCAGGGATGAAACAGTGTATTGGCAGCTGCCAACTGTCACTGTGACTACTTTTACACTCCTTTACTGTTACTTTTAAGTACTTAACTTTTCCCTTTATGTTTGGTTAGGTGTGAAATTATTTGAAATAGCTTGGAATAATACTCCAAGTTACCTGGCCAAGTGTGAGAGGACAAGCAAGAATTTTTATTTCTTATATCAAAATTCCATAACTCTGTTGTCTCTGCTGCAGCTTCCAACATTTACAAATAAAAATACAATGGGTATGATGTTTGTTGTGTATGTGCATGTCTGCAGTTGATGCATCATATAAACATTACTCACATTGCAAACAAAAAGGACCACACACACTACTGTGCTTCCAACAGAACCAGATGGCTGAAACCTTACCTTTGATTTCACCTCTATGAGTGGAGAAAGAGGATGCCCAGACTGCATCTTTTGATAATGTTTAGACATGTTTCACCTGTCAAAGGACAACTTATGAATATGAGGAAAAATGAATGCTACAAAACCAAAGTTAGCAGAGGCCTGAGATCTGTTTCACACTGTGACACACAATACAACAACCCAAGAACACTTTGAAGGAAGACATGTGAGGCAGTCTTGCTGTTGGCACCAGCCAGACTGCTGACACATATTCACATTTCTGGAGTTGGACTGCCTGCAAGTGGCCACATACCTGGCTTGATGCTAACCAATTAAAAAAGGCTGGCATCATGACAAACAAAGGCACACATTTGGATACATTAATGCTCTGTGACAATGTATTTGGGATCCTCAGTCGTCTTTACTTCAGTCAAACAGTTCTTTCCCTAAAAATAAATATGGGAACTATAGGCAGTTTATATTGCTTCATTTCAATTATTTAAACATGGTTTAATGAAAAATATCTTCACAGCAGCATCAACTTAATGAATGAAATTAAAAACCAACACATGCATTCTCACTGTCTCTGGTTCCTCATGTATTACCAAACATTAATATCATGAAAACAAACAGACCAAACCATGGGATTGATAAATACTGAACCCATACTTAATTAATCTTTGGCCATTTTTGCATAGCACCCATGCATTTTTCTTACATGCCATACCAAATGACCTTATTATCCACAAAAGAGCATAAACAAGGCTTGATATTCTTCACATTCTCACTTATATTTGTGTATTCCTTTTGCAAGATTGAGCCATTCATATGCATATATATATATATATATATATATATATATATATATATATATATATATATACACATATATATATACACATATATATATATATATATATGATCTATCTATTATCTATCTATCTATCTATCTATCTGTCTATCTGTCTATCTGTCTATCTTTCTGCCTATCTATGTCTATCTATCCATCTATCTATCTATCTGTCTATCTGTCTGTCTATCTATCTATCTATCTATCTATCTATCTGTCATGACACCAGTGTGTTTTTATACCTAGCTGCATTTCCTAACAGTATGTCTGGCGTATAGCGGGCTATGACTTATATCATGAGTATACAGTTGAATTTTGATGTGCAGCGACACAGTCTCAGTTCAATGCCATTACTTACAAACATGCTTACAGAAAATGGATAGACTGGTTTAGCTAAGCTTTACAGTATATGAATGACAGCTGAATACAGAAAATTTAACTTCCATTCTAATAACAACCTGAAATCAAGAGGGTAGTCCAGTCCAGCCTCTTCACATTCTGCTTGTATTAATTCCAGTCATGTGCACTTGTCAACCAAGCATGCACATTATGGGATTTAGCATGTAGAGCATTCATTTGAGAATTTGAAGACACAAAATGTAGTAGAATGCTTTTGATCTAGTTTTGTCCTGAATTATTACCATGCCAGCAATTATACCAGACTCACTTTTTATTGTCCACACATGTGTATGTGAAATGCAGCCAGCATGTTTTTCATCCACTTACCTGCATCATAAACAAACATAGTTCCCAATCTATATGACAAGGCATGCTATCAGGTGATGATCAAGGTCAGAAGACAAAGAGCAGAAATGACAGAACAACATATTTGATATGTTCAGAATTAATCATGGTTTTAAAAGTGTCACCTACCATATGAATATTTTAGTTTTCTGGTTAACCAAGATTAGATAACTTTTAATACTCCTTATCCTTTCAACATTTTCAGTATCCCTACTGGATGCAGACTGGCTAGCTATACACCAATCCACATTACACAACTAACATCTTAATATATTTAGCAGAGCGGCAGGCACAGCAAGATGGCCATGTTTTCATCCTCATGATTAACCCAGGCTGATATGCGGGCACATAGCAACCTAAGAAAAGCAGGTTGCAATGTGGTGGTTACCAGCGACAATAATGGTGAGACGCACACACCAAAAGCGGCCAAATACTTCTCACGAGCAATATTTGTTAAGTGATTCTCATTTTGAACCATAGTACGCACCCTTTCCAGTTGTTGCTGCCTAAAAATTAACTATCCCTCGCCTTCAGCAGCCCAAGTGCTCCGCCCGCGATACTTAGCCAGCGCTCCGACTGTTATCGCTATGACACATAAACCGCGAAGGGGAGCAGATACGATTATGGCGTGACAGTTCCAAAAATGGCCCGAAGGCCTCGTTTAAAGTACTGCCCTGGTGGTGAAAGTATCACAAACTTAAAACTCTGTTTGGCATTTATGGATGATTTAGATAAGCAAGTTGAATGTCAAAGCATAACTATTCATTCTCATGAAGTGTGCATATGTGCACGTATTATAGCTTTTGAGCTAGACTGCATGTCGAGTGTGCCCTACTTGAAAGATAGTGATATCCCCAATTCTAGCGAACGAGGGAGATCTTGTCCAAACCAGACCAACCTAATTTCGCAGTAAATCAGACTTGAATTCGCACTTTTTTACAATATGAAGAAGATGTGACCTTGGACAAAGTCTCATAGCCGCGGCCCCAGAGCTCATTGTGCTGGCATTTGATAATGCGTGATACCTAGTACGAAACTATAGAACAAAATACGGAAGTACCGCGCTTCTGCGTATGCTGGACATATCAAACACCTTGTCGAATTTCGGAACTTCCATAAATGGCTTTTGTGGTATCCACACAGCTTTCCACAGCCATGAAGATCTCATTGTTTGCATTTGTCGGCCTAATGAGGAATTCACCAAATAAAAATTCACCGAAGTTGTGCGTTTTCCGTGTGACCTTTCAACAGAGATGATACATTTTCGGATGTCATTTTTCTCTAAAAGGCGTGAGGAATTACTCAGAGCATGCGCTGTTGAAGAGGATCTTGATGGCATTCCAGCACCGACGGCACACCCGTTCTGTTTCCTCACACAGAGTCCACTAACCAGTCTCTTTCGAAGTGCTCCTGGTTTCAAACTTCCAAAACATACGATATGGCTTCATCCTGTAGTCACGGGTGAGATCGATGCTTGAGCTTTGCTGCGCAAAGTGGCGTATGGAATTGCTAAACAGATGTCAGTATCCCATATAAACCGTCAGGCTTCCCACTTCCCACGTGAAGTCTGCTCCATAGACTGAGGCCATTTAGCCTGAAATGCGTTCATACTCGGGGCGCCGCGCTAGAGTTGTCATGTGGAGGTGTGTTGGATAAGGCAGGCCAGGTGTGTTTCGACTGATGGCAGTGGGCTTGATTGGGTTTGGTTAGTCCAAGCTTGTTTTGGCTTTGTGTATGGTAAGGCTATTAGTATATCTCTGCAATCGGCACGTCCGTAAAGTTAGCGATACCAACATGCTCACTTCCTGTTTGGACAGCATTACTGCTCTCCCTTCCATTCACACCTATTCATCCACTCAACAAGCTAGACCGTTGCCTAGCGACGTTACCGATGGGCGCGCACTCATGTGGCCGTACGATGAAACGGTGACGTGGGCTGCGCAGGATGTGGGTATTGCGTGCGCTGGTTCTTAAGCTTGCTGTGGCCGGGTGACCAGAGTAAGCATATCTGTTCATCACGCTGGTAAAAATGATCAGAAAGGCAACATGGTCAACATGGCAAGGCTGCCGGAGCTGGTATCTTTCAACTATGCAAATTTCATAATTGCTTTAATTTCCATAGCAGTTGATGTAGTCGCTAGCACACCTGCCATACGACACAATCCATCCACGGTCATGCGTCATAACACGCTTCGAAGCGATTCAGTTGTGACTCAGAGCCGGGATATCCAGCTGGGGTGTGAGCTGGGCTTTCCCCACTATCTTGTGGTTAAAATTTTACAAAACGCAGGGTTGAGTTGATACTAACACAAAGACTCTCCTTTACGCATTTTTTGCTAGCCATAACTACTACGATCTTTGAAGTGGGAGCTATTTGAGAATCGATGCGAAAAATGAAGAAAAAATTGTCGTCCGTCACTACAAAGTGGGTTAAAGCTCTAACAAAACACACATTTGGCAGGAGCTAAGCCCTAGAACCCGTTACTTGCTGTCCAATCATTTACAAAAGTGACGCCTCCGATTCAGAGCAGCCAAACATGACACGGCTTCAGTTTCATGTCTCTGAGACTTTGCTAGAATGTAACTGCACCTTATCTATGTGTGTGCAAACATAAGGTTGACGCAGGAGTGGAGACCAGCTGAAATCGAAATCGAGCACACAGTGGCTACGGCGATTGTTCTGCCGTCCAAAGGCAAACCCAGGGGGTTAGCATCGCAGCTTGAGAAATTGGTCGGGCTGGCGGCTCGTTAACGTTAGGCGGTGACGTCACAAAGTCGCACCGGCTTGCGCGGCGGCGTTGCATGGCAACGCCGACTGCGTCAATTGGAAAACAGTAGTCACGCAGAAATGTTGTCGTCTCATTTACTACCGTGCAGTGTGATATCAAGTATGTGTTGTTGCATGGCCTCGGTGCGTGCTATTATGTCGCGGATGCACCAGCAAACCTTGGGCAAACCGACCTAAGAGCTTTCGTGAAATCACAAATGATTAGGCACGTGGTAATGTTGCGAAAACACTTCTTGAGAAATACAGCGGCCTGTTCTGATACACCTGAAGAACTCCCATGGGTGCCAATGCTATTTATACAACTTTTGCGCACCTCACATATGGTGCAAAAATAGGTTACTGTCCTATATTGCTAGCATGAAAGGGCAGCTATTACCCCGCCGGCCCTCCGCTTTTGATGAAGCTTTCAGGACACCTAGTCAAGTGTTGGACATGACGGGTTACCGCTAAATGGTCCACTGCGACACAAATGTCACCTAACGCTTGTCAATAGCATAGGACTGAACCAGTAGACTTCTTTGGTCACTCCCATTGCCACGTTTGGCGGATTCGAATTAACGAATCCGTCAGTGAAACGTCTGACATGTTGGTTGAACGGGCTGCTAAGGACGGTTTTTCATGAATGTTGAAACAGGGAAGCCGACGGGCCGCCCCCCCCCCCTTCCCTGGGGAAGGGGGGCTGTAAAACTCAGGCTGAGTTTTCGTGAAAGTTTTTGACCCAAGCTACGACGACGCATGAAGGTGTTGTCACGGCAATAATCTTTCAGCCTCTGCGACCGCCTTATCTCATGTTACTACGTCTCTGGCTGCCCCAGAACCTTCTGATATGCATTATCGGCCTGCGTTTTAGTGCTGCGCAAACCGGCGCCAGGTTGTCGATTCATGCAACAACTTCGCTCAATTCGTCGCAATACCATGTGTTTGTGCTCGTTCCTTTTGTGGCGCGCTGGTGAACTGTGACAGCGTTTTCCTTTTGAAATGCACGTGCCATTGTACGAAGTTATAAAAAATGCGTGGTATACGCTTCATACGACAGCTGTTTATCTCGCGTTCTAGCGTGTCAAAAACGCCGATTCGATCATCGATTAACCGTCTCTTTCTCTGCCTTTTCTTTCCCATCAAGCGGTAGTTATGGAATACTCATGCCACGCTCAAAGCGTGCATGCCTGACCATGATTTCGGAGACTGCAAAGCTGCATAAATAAAATAACTTGTTTTATCGACGTCAGTCGCCGTCTGTTGTGCAGGTCAATGACCTACGTTACGACGAACGTGATGGCAATGACTTGTAATGGGTCACAGTCGGGCGAGGCCACGGTTACCATTAAAAACAATTATGAAGGCAGGCTTCAAGAGGTATTGCGACAAAGGAGTTTTGGACGAAATCATGTAACTTTCCGGTACTTATTAGACAAGCAGGTTAACTGAAAATAATTCCATTAACCTCGGGCAATTATGAAAGTCAGACAAAGACCAAAATCAAGGAAGTTATTGACGAGAACACTTTCTTGATGGGCCAGTTTTTGACGCTCGCTGCTCATTTCTTTATCTCAAATGTCTTAACGTATGTCTTATGCTGGCTTTCTGAAAGTCCTAGCAGGCCAATAACCTAAACTGACGCTGATGATCATTTTTCGTGGAAAACTTGTCCGATATGCGGACCCTAATTTTGACGCTAATTTTGAAGTGGAACAACGTAATGGTCTTTGTTTTGTCATTTTGATCTTCTATATCTCAGAAAACGTGACTGATCTGAAATGCTTCGTAATGCATAATTTTGCTTGAAAAATGGCCTGAAAAACTTCGGACAACTGCATATTCGACTAATAAAATGCAAAATTGGCATACAAATAAGCATCAGTACTAAGTCATGACAAAATGCTACTGATGTCACTCAGTGATAACAATATATTCCTGATACCCACAAGCGAAATTAAATATTCCGGATACCCAAAATAACTCCGTTGTCCGTTACACAAACATTATTTAATACACTTTCAGACTAGCAAAAGTTTTGCGCAGATAAAAACAAATATAGCATACATTCAGGCAAATGAGCTTGCTTATCCTTATTCGACCAGAAGGTCATAACCTAGAGATATTGAAATTTTACACAAGCGATTTCACGTATGCCCTTACTACCCTGCACTTAGATGCCTCCAACTTGATACATTTTTTAGATCACCGGGGTTGGTTCAAATCGACTCCCAATGCGAGCGCGTCGCATCCGACTGGCCGGCTGTGATAGTTTGACATCACTACGCAACCTTTCACGCTCGAACAATAAAGTTTGCCTCAATCCAAAGCACGCTGCCAATTTAATCTTGATTGTTTTAATGTTTTTGGATTTCTAACAAATTCAATCAGCCTTAGACAATTTCTACAGTTTTTAATTGTTAGATTTACCATTTTGATATGAATATAATGTCACCGGTGCAATATCGACGAAATCTCTTAAAATTACCCGATAAGTGTTACTTTACTTCCTTGAAAGTGAATGGCAAGACTTAATGGCAAAATCGATTTTAGTTCGCCCACTACTTGAAATGTGTCGGCCGGTAGGTTTTCATTTCCCGACATGTTCGCTGGACCGTACAAAATCGGATGGTTTCCTAGCCCTGGATTGCCATTCTCGCCGATGCCGTCTGTTAATAGCAGAGCCAGAAATAGGTTCGTACTTAGACTACATTTATCATAAACTGACCTTCGCGCGCCGCGCGTTACGCGACGAGCTAAACTGCGCTCGTATTGTTACCAAATCATACTTTGGAACGGTCTCCAGACGTCTCTAGAACAGCCTA